ATTTTTACAAGTTTCCATATAGGGTCTTGTGTATTTATGAATGCAAATAAATAATAGACAAAGTCATTAAATATAGTTTATTTTCGACTAGAAACTCTTAGTAATACCAAACACCTTTCTTGGCGTTACAATTCCTTCATTACGTCAAAGAAGCCACGTGAGAAACATTTAAGATAAATAGAAATATATATTTACAACATTTATTGAGATCTAACATTGCTTTTTATGATTTCGTAACAATTAAAATTCATGTCTCTAAACTGCAATTCAAGTGTCAATTTTAATGGTAAATCCAATTTAATTGCGACCTGAGTCATTAAACGACTCCAGTCAGTTATCAGATAGAATAACATCTCTAAAGATGTCAGTCCATCATCAATAGTGACCTGTAGAGGTTCCAAAGTAACAACGAGGATAGGAGCCCAAAGACAAGTTAAGTACAAGTAAATAAGTTAAGGCAAAGAAAAAGACAGACTCAAGATTATGGTGGTTGCGAAATGTCGAAATATCAGGAACACAACAAAATGAATAAAATTCAGTTACTCTACTCGTATAACATTACAGATTTTATTTTTTATTGCAATATTTATGCTGTATAAACAGCAACAGAAACATTATTGATCGCCTCGATGCTCTCAAGGCTTAGCATACCGCTTAACTTCGCGGTCGCGGGTTCGATTCTTCACTCCGTACAATTCATGTGTATGATTGTCTGTACCTGTCACGTATATATGATTTACAAAAAAAAATGTATCTAGGTTTATATCAGATGTCTAGTTCCCATAACGTAATCTCTGCTTAGATGGGAACTAGTTGACACTGATTTGTCCTGAGATCTTATTGTAAAAAAATATTTAAAAATAATAGCCAATTTATAACAATAACAAAAAGTTAATTGAATTGCAGTTTAACGAAATAACGTCACCATTATTCACTATTACCCTTTAATTAAAATAGTATGTACAGAAATCAGTTTTTTGACAGCTACAGTAACAACCATTTACATATTCGACTGTTTAATTAAAAGTAGCATTTTAACATGGAGGTCGGAAATAATTGAAAATAAATTATGAACTACATATATGTGTATTTTTAAAATAATATTCAGTTGAGATAATATTTGTATATTATCAAATATATATTATCATTAATGTTATGTAATAGAAATTTAAATAGTTTAGAATCTATTTTATATAGCTTTAAAAATAATGCAGATATATTTTTTTTTGTTAAGATCTTATATTTAACACTTTGTTATATGATTATATATATTTGAAAATACACCTATTCATAAATAAAAAACTTATTATTCAACATAATGTGAAAATTATGACTATTTTATACTTATTTATATGATTGATGTATGTATATCTATAAGATACATAAAACAATCTTGCACGTTAATTAAAATAAATACTAAAATATGATAACATGCAGAAAGAAAATGTAATATCATTAAAGTCAAATAATATTCAAATAAAATTGTTCCATTTCGATTAATATATTGATTCACGTTTTGAATGTACTAAACATATATTTATGCTACCTTTGGATCCTATGTCCCTTACTTGTAATAAGTAGAACATAAAAATGAGTTTTAGTCACGTGTAAGATATTGTCATATATAAATTCAGCTAAACATATGAAGACGGAAGTCGAAGAGTCGAAATAAAGAAATGAAAACGCAAACAAATTGAAAGCTTCTTTAAAACCTACTGTTTACAACTTCAATATAAAAAAAATAACAACAATAATAGGTATAACGACGACTTCCGTGACTTACTACGACTTGACACAAAAAAACCTCATCGGTATTTGTAGTAATACCAAACTTTGTATTGAATTGTAATACCTACTAACTCTCTTGTAATAATAAATATTTTAAACTATCCTAATCTATTTTGACAGGCGACGGTTAGCGTAAGTTCGAGTTTTTCAGTGCAACAGTGTTGAGAGTTAAAAGTCAATAATGCCTTTAAGTATTCTACCTGGAATCATATTTGTGATTATATATATCGTATTCAATTTACTATCCGTACAAGAATGTGGCAATAATACCTAAATATTGCTTCTATAGCAATCCATTTAATATATTATCATTTTAAACAGGCGGATGCGTGTAAAATAATTTAACACAGAAAAATGATATTGTTTGTTGAAACGTATTTGCTATCGATTTGATAAACGGTGGATATGTTTGTATAATAGTTTAAGTACCGTTTATGAATAAGTATAAATGAAATATAAAGTACTGGATTTAAAATGGATATGTATCTATCTATATATTCTAATATCTAAACATTTATATTCACTATTTCCTATGTGTAATAAGTGTATTTTGTTTATTTAGACAAGGCTTTGTTAACATAATAGAACATTAATTTCATTAATTACTATATAATTATAACTGACTTCATTTAATGATATGATGTTATATGATATGAAGGAGGAATATTTTAATTACACAACAAGAAATCTGTCTAATTTTTATTTCTAACATTAGATATGTGCATAAAAGAAAATTACATTTAAATACATTTTATTTACAAATAATTATGTTCTTTATTTACACAGCTTTAATAGTGAATCTAATAACTTAGAAATAATTTTAATAATTGCGTCTTTTCTATTCTAAATTTGAATTTATTTTCTAAGCCGTATTTTTATTATTCCATAAATAAATAATATTCTTTTAATGAATACTAACAATTTATTTTTTGCAGGATAATTTATTACTCACGAGTATTATAAAATATTTACAATTGTGCAATTGAAAGAATAAATAGATACATCTATTTATAGTAACAGATTTATTATCTATAAATATATTTACATTTCATTTTATTATTATTTTATAAATTCTTTCGGAATGACTTGATATGTCCTACGATATTTAATACTGACACATATACTTATAAATTACTTAATTTACATAATTAATAAAGATCATTAGCGCTTTTCCCCATTTATTTGTATTAAATTATACAGTAATATTCTTTATATATTAACACAGAGTGCATCTAATCTTATTGATGTGAGAGTACAGGGAAAACAGTTACTACGAATATATTATTTTAATAAAGCGACTTTTTCTTGGTTCTGAACTACAATAAATATTTTATTCCGTGTTTCGACCATAAAACACTAATAACTTACCAATAATCTATACGTATTTATAAATAGAGAACATTTTATGTTGTCAGATAAAATAATAATAATCTTGGCACCGATACACATGTAAATACATTTACTTCGCTTCATTAAAATAATCACATCGATATGTCCAGGTCATTGGAAATCAGAAGACATTACATACAAACTAGTAATTCATGGATATATATAGTTACAATCACACATGAACAATTAGGTTCAAAGTTAACGGCTAAAATTAATTGAACTGGAAACGATGTTATGTAGAGCGACAAATCATATTTAACAGATGAAATAATTTAGCATATATATATTTATGTAATATAGATTGTAAGTTTATTTAAATTTCTTACCATGTCTTCAGTAACAGCTAACACCGATAACAAACACAAGGCGTACAATACACGGAGCGACAAATTGTCTGCAAATGTGGAAGAAAAAATGGTGAATATATTGGTAGCGAATTGATTGCTATAAGTACAAGATAAAATGAGACAACAACGACGTCGACGTCCGTCATCTCTCTCTTTCTCGCAGTTATTTTAGTAATCGATTCGCTGAAAATTGAAATCAACGCGAACAAGTAAAATGTGACAAAACTGATCATATTACGAAGGAAATAAGATATTAATTACTATAAAATGCATTTAAATATTTGGCCTTTACATATGATTAAAAACGAATTGCCCGGTCAGCGTTCAGCTTTGATTATACAATAAGATTTAGCTTATAATTTATTTTAAATAATTATTCTGTATTTATTATATTTACAATAATTATTTATTTGCAAAGACTAAAATTATTTACAAAAGTATCACAGGAGTCTTAGATGTGATTAGACTATAGTGGGTATAAAATTTCGAGAAAATCCATAGGTTAACTTTTTTTTTCAAACAACACATTCTTAATAAATTCCAAAAGATAAGTGTAGGTACTATAAATTATAATACAAAATAACTCGATTAATTCGATCATTACTGCTCGCTTAATACTATGCAAGCTCGTTTAACTAGCCTAGTCTTGTTTTATGAGTATTTTAACGTAGATATAATTACGATCATCCATAGATGTCATTATTTATTATTTACCTATATGATATTATTCGGAAAACTATATAAAATACTCGTACATGATGATAATATTTTTATAAAGAAACAGATCTAAATATTAATATGTAAATTACATAGTCTGTTACTATCGTCACTTCATTTCAGAATGGACAACACCAATAAATTGTAACAATTTAGTTTGATATGTTCAGCTATTATAAAAATACTACAACTGAAACCTTTTACTTGAAATTTCGCTTTTTTCCGTTTTAAAAATTAAACTCTTATTCGATACCGATGTTTTGTGGCCGCTGCGAGTAACTTGTGTGCGGAAAACCTTATTTGCTGACATAAAATGTGAACAATGAAGAAAAATATATTTTATTAAGTACTAAGCAATAAAGATAAATAGGTATGTTATGACTAATTTAATTTATATTGTGTTAAAATATTTTACAGATATGTGCCACAATAAATTTTAATACATACTACAATTTTAGTTTCAAAATATACAGTTTAAACTTATCCGTTTTGTTAACATAAATTAAAATAAGTTTAATCTAAATTTATTGGTTACTATTTCGTAACTGAATAGAAAAATATGATAACATCTGATATAGTTAGAATACTTATAGTAATAGTCATCATCAATTAAGAATAATAACTGACAGCGTAGCAAATTCATTACGAATTAGAATTTTAAGGACTAGATCTTACACTTTCTTATTACCTAAATATATATATTATAGATAGCAAGCAATTATACATATAAATTCCGTAAAATTACGTAGTATCAGTATTAATACTAATATTGCTGTCAGCCATTTTAAAACCTATTTCAAACAACATCGCTTTTATCGAGTAGCCCATTATTGCTACTCCCATCTTCTTGTCAGATATGATACTCTCTCAGTGGACGCACAGATTCTGCGGAAGATCGTGGTGTGGGATCGATTCCAGATAACCCTAAAGAACCGCTTCGTCGAACAACTAAAGTCTTCGTACCATAATCTGTGACGAAATTATCATTTCTCGTTGGAGTATTGGCCCTTACAGTTTGGTAGCCACAACAAGGAGGGTACCTAGAGGTTAATATCTTCTTGAAAGCTTCCCGAAATTCAGTGTTGAATATTGAGTATATAATTGGGTTGAATGCTGAATTTGAGTAGCCGAGCCAAGTGAGAATTTTAAACGCAAGATCTGTAACAAAAAATATTATTGATGTCTAAATGATAATTTTAAGTAATTAAAATGGCCAGCAACCGGACGGCATCTGATTTTAAGTGGTAAACGTTATTTACATATTGCACATGAACAGTACTACGATGTCACGTTAAGTTGCACTCCCATTCCAGAGAATCATGATGTTATGTCGCTTATCCTGTAATTTCACTGCCTAATCTCAACCTATAATTAAATTACAAGATACAAAGCAAGCTGCTTGGTAGCTGAAATAGGTAGAAAGAGGTACCCACGAAAAAGTCGTCTGGACTTTTTAGAAAGTCTTCTAAAGACTTCGTGACCTAACCTTTACTGACAAAATCTATACATATAAATAAAATTGAAGTGTCTGTTTGTGACATTGAATTAACCGTTTTTTATTACATGCATATGAATATAAATACGGTACATAAACCAAAATAACATTTTTTACTATTTTTGTCTGTTGTCTGTTTGTTCCGACTAATCTCTGAAATGGGTGGACCTATTTTGACGAGACTTTTTTTGGTAGGTAGCTGATGTAATAAGGACTAACTTAGGCTACTTTTATTTTAGAAAAATAAAGTTAAATTCCACGCGGACGAAGTCGCGGGAACAGCTAGTAAGATATAAAATGACAGGTTGCGTTTGCAATTACGTTGACAGTTGACAATATTTCTGACTTATTTAGAACTAGTACTAAATGCTGCGAGTAGTGAACAATATTAGTACAGAGAAGTAAACAATAAACATTATTAGGTACTATTGGAAAAGCAATAAAGTAGGTAAACTTATCGAAAGTTTTAAATATATTTTTGCAGTTCAATATTTATAATTCACATGTTGTTACGTCTTGTATCATAAGTTTCCAGACATATTTTTTATTAAGCATTTTTCGAATATATTAAACACTGTTATACTTCAAGAGTCGATATTATATTTAATTTTTAGGTCAATATGTGCAATAGAAAACGATAATATAATAATAGCTACAACATAAACTTGACGAGGGAATGGTTGGATAATACTTTTGTTGACGCCTTTGTAACTTACATAGGCATGAATTATATAACTAAATGTTATTAAAATTTTACCTTTAATAATGTTTCTACGAGGTAATAGCTATATTAAAATTTAACGTTAAAACGAATAATTCTATATGGAGTATTGCTTGAATAAGTATTAAAATCTATACTACTATAATTAATTATTTACATTTATTCATTTACACATTACATTATATTTATTTGCGGATTATTTTGTAGCTCTTTGTAGGCCTGCAGTGTGTGAGAACCGGTGACGAAAACAATTGGATATATTTTTTATATTAAATTCATCGAATAAATGATGTACTTATTGTTATCCGATTAAATTATTATCTTACTTTTAATATAAATAAAAATTTAATTGATCGCAAAGAAACTGTCGGTCTAGAGCAGTAATTCCCAAAGTGGTCTATATCGACACCCCCAGGTGTCTACGACATACTGCAAGGGGTCTACGAAAGCGGTCATCTTGTTGTTTTTCTTTATGTTTTTAACACTAATCTTTACTACAGTTAGAAACTTTAAAAAAATCAATACCAGATAACAATGTGGTCTACCTAAAACCGATACCGTTTTAGGTAATTTCAACATTACGTTAACAATAAAACAACGTTATTAATAGTAAAATTCGACATAAAAAAAGTTTGGGAACCTATGGTCTAGACGATGGTAAAAAGAACTACGAACTTCACGTATTCATATGACGCCTATTATGAGGACTAAGATGTTATGCATCTAATCCTATAATTTCAATTAACATGTTGAAGGTATGTACAGTACTGACCATGAAGTCTGCCAAAGTAGAACAAATATTGTATGAGTGAATAAGAGAGACGACGCTATACACACGAAAGAGAAACCTCTAAAAGTGTATTTGACAGGTTGATTGTTTATAGATTGGGGGTTAGTATAGAGAATAAATTTAGTTACCTGTGGCAGAAAATGGAGTGTTATACATACTAATTACTTAATAGCATATCTACTTAGGGTTTAACCGACATAATGCTAACTAATTTTGAATCTTTATTGGTATACGATAAGAAACTTTTTTGTTGAAACAAAATATATAAGCATGTAATTATCTTATTTCTGGACACTGCTAGCCTACGATTTCGTTACATATATACATTTATATGTAGGTCTATAGATGGTGATCAAAGTAGAACCATAAATAAGATATCATTAAATAGACATGTATTACTTAATAAATAATAAATAAATTACATCACAGCAGGGCGTATTGAATATTTATATGTATTATAAAATTAATTATATTCTCTCTCTAAGTTCCATCGTAAATCCTTAAGACACTTTTACGTGATAACTTTCCACACAAATAAATATATAGAGAGATTATATATATAGTTTTTTGTTCATATGAATAAAATAAAAACAAACTAAACCAACAAAAAAAGTAACTTGTAGAACATGATATATTTCACTGATTTAATAAGAGCAGTATTACTACCAATACCTATAACCATTTCTGGTATCTATTTTATAAAAAAAATGGGGACACTATTTTCTTTTTGTTTTGTATAACCGTATGAAAGCGATAGTTTTAAAAAACTAACTCACCTGGTATACAAGTCTTGCAAAATGCAGCTACAATGTTCACACAGAAAAATGGCACCCAACATAGCAGAAATACACCCATTATAATTCCAACTGTGATTGCGGCTTTGTGGTCAGAGACGTGATATGGCGATGAGTGGACGTGCGTATGCACTCTAGTCCGGACAGATTTCGTCCGGTTGTCCGGCATTTGCACCGTCCGGGTGACAGCACGGATAGACTTCACATGTTTCTGAGCGTAGCAATAGAGCCTGTTGAAATTTAGGTTATTAATATAAGTATTCATACGCATACATATAGTATTGTAATACTACTTATATTTAAAACTATAATATTTTAACTGTAAGGTCCGTGGGGTCCTAGCGCTATAAGACTTTTCAAGGAAATATCAAAAAGGTTAGTCGACATTACAGACGGTCTTCTGTTCGGTCAGAAGACCGAAGAGCTAGCACCTCGGACAAAGAATTAATCTAGCTATTCTAAGGGGGAACGCCGCCAGTATCTTCGGAACCTTACCTAAAGGGACTCCTTTAAATAATATATTTTAGTCATTATATTATTAATTTTTTAAGGTTTTGAATTTTAGGTTCTTAATGTACAATTAATTTATATATGTTAAAAACAATTTGGCTTCCGGGCTCCATGGGCCCAACGTCTCCACGGCAAATTGTTCGGAAGCCAAATTGTTTTTAACATATATTTCAGCGCGGCTCATTGAGGTTACTTCTGACCCGAGAGCTGGTAGCTATTTTGCCCAAAGGCTAAGTATGGCCATTCAAAGAGGCAACGCTGCCAGTATCTTGGGTACGCTGCCTCGATGTGCCGCGTTGGATTACAATGATTGTTTTTTGTAATTGTTTGTATTGAATTATGAAATTGATAGGCTGTACACCAATTTTAAAGAGAGTTGATTGATAAAAAAAAAAGTTACATATTACATTAAATGATTTCTATGTAATTAAAATGTTGAAACAATAAATATGTAGGTATCTAATATTTATAATCGCACTACATATTCCATTGTATAAAATAGAAAGTTCAATCTTTGTCGGTATGTGTAGATATCCGCGTGCGAAATTATTACTATGTTCGTGTCAATGTGAGCGATTATAAATTACGCGGGAAAAATCTGTGTGGTTTAAAATGTACAATTCAAACCACGTGTTCGCTTCTTTCATATTTCAAATTAGAATCATTTGTCGCACTCTTCCCACATAGATACATCTGTTCTTGTCATAGCTCGCGTTTCAATTCATGCTTTTAAAAAACTTGTGGATACTTGCTCTGTTCATACAATGCAACAATCAGTAACTTTCTGTTAATAAATAAATTAACATATTTTCAACAAAGTTGTTCACAACGTAGATCTAATTTTACCGGTTTTCAATATATAAAGCAGCTCATAAAACACGAAGTTATATTCCATAACCGCACTATTGTCTATTTTTTTTTATCAAATGCTGAGCTGACTTAAAAAAGTAAAACAGCAGGAAAGCAACTGTTCTATGGTTGAGTTTATTTAAAATCAAGTGTGTTGAAAAACGTCGTACGATATACGTACCTACGTATTTAAAACACTTGGTTCTATTACGTCCTCTCTTTCGGTTCTGTCTGATATTTCGTCTGGTGTGTTATAACCATATAACGTACTTATATCGCAATATATGTCTAAAAAAATACTTTTTTTTATATAAAAATGTCGTCCATTCCGCATGAGAAAGTACCAAAATTTCCCTATATAAGTCCGTCGCGTAATTATGCAGTTAAATGTATTGTAAGATATTGTGCCATAATTCGTGAAGGTCGGATTAAATTGGGCGTAATAAAAGATCAATTAACTTGATTTCAACCAATTTCGCTCACAATAAAATCGCGTAGGTAGCAAAGTTTTCACATACGGTGCTATTTAGTAGCAATTTGTTTAATGTATTCTCGCCTCTTCCACAAATTGGTTTACTTAAATTTGTTTGCGTAAATCAGATAAATTAAGATGTAATTCCACAAAAAATCTAGTTCAATCATAAATAAATATATGGGACAACAAAGTGACGTATGTACAACTTTAAATGTGTAATTTCCTCTGGAAGCCATTGCGGTAAATCCTGATGATGATGAATTCGACACCATGAGCTATCTAACCTGACTTCATACTTATTCGATCATTACTGGTGCCGTATACGCTATACTGGGGAATCGAAATTACGACAGCCTGAACCGAGATTCGAACCCCTAACGTTGCCCTCAGACTAAAGTCATATCCGTCAGGCGGGAGTTGGCCTTCAGTCGCTCTATACGTCCTTCTGCGAGTTTGGAGTGCCATCTACACTCGCCCCCAATCGTGCCGTGAAGCTGTTAAAGCTACCTGCGGCCAACGGCATTAAAGTAGTCCGAAAAAAAACTGTTACCGCAGATAGGTAGAGCAACCATACAGAAAAATACATTACTATATATTGGTTTCAGAGGATTTTCCTCTCATGCATGTTCGCTCTCACATTGTTGAATAAATTATTAATTGACGATGATTTATGTAAGCACTACAGCATGGGGTTTTTTAAGAAGGATATATTAAGATTTCTTTAGAGTCGGTAACCCGCAAATTACGCCTCTGGTTTTTCAGGTGTCTATAGGCTTACAGTTTATCACCAGATGGGCCGTATGCTTATTTCACCATTGTGATATAAAAAATTAATAAGACTACCAAACACTAACCTGCAGTATATACTTATCATTACAATACACGGTAGTATAAATGATATGCAGCTGGAGACGACAGCATAAGTTGGAGTCAGCACCAGCGCGCAGGTCGGATATCTCGGTGGTCTTTGTGTGGCTAACGCTTCTTCATCAGGCCGGTGGAGACCGAGAGAGATTGGGAGGAAGCTGACTAACGCAGCCAGGAGCCAAATCGTCGCAATTGTGACTATAGCTACCCGACGAGTTACCCATCGACCATATCTGAAATAGAAGTAGTTATTAATAGCTAAAAGTGAGAGACACATTTGTTTATTGAATTGGAAGCAATAGGTTGGACCATTTAATGGTAAGTGATAGCTGTTGTCTATAAGTATAATAACTTCGGAGAATTCTCACAGCGCCATCTAGTCCCAAACTAAGCAGAGCTTGTGTTATGGATGCTAGACAATTGATATAAATATTTAGATACATTATTTTTGTAAACACATAAATACTATTACATAGAAAATACCCCGACTGATACAAATAATCATTCTCATCAATACGTGTTTGTACTTTGCAAGAAATCGAACCTGCGACCATCGGAAGTATAGTGGAATGCAATACCGCTGGACCACCCACGCCTTCAATATGAAATAAACAAGTAACAGTCAACCCGTGACCAGGATGTAAGAGCTTCGCAATATAGAAATCTCATAAATAATATAATCACCGTAAAATACCATTTATATAATATACAATAAAATCCGCCTCATGAATTGCAATTTCTGAGGACTAAGGGGCTTACTTTTAACAAATGAAAATGGAATGGTGCACCCGCCTGCGCTAACAGTATACGCTGGGGCACACTGGTGCCCTATATACTGAGGTATACTGAGGATGATATGAGGAGAATAAAGTCAGATCAGCTACTCCATTCACTAAAAATGGACTATTATATTTACCAAGGGCATAAAGTTACCTGACGTGGTACATTGGTAGCATTCTGGCTGAGCTATTAAGAGAATATCGGAGAAATATTCCATTAAATATTTAGTGAACTTACTCCACACGTCAATCTTGAAACTCAGTATATATGCAAGTATGCTATTTCAAGCCTTTGTTTTATAGAAGGAAAAGTAAACGCATACTTCATATAGTTTCATTTCTAAGATCGTCTGAATGAAAAAAATAAAGAAAAGTAGGTACTAAAGTTTTCTCATATACTCGTATAGCGAAAAAAAATGGCAAATGCGGCTCGTCTGATATTAACCATTTATTGCAAGTTATGGATACTTCAATTACTTTACAAGAAATACTATTATATATAAAGTTGTTGTTGACGGTTTCGGTGGTCTAGCGGTTTAGCAACCCCTTACTTTCGATGCTCGCGGGTTTGATTCCTAACACTGCACAAACATTTGTATTCATCTGTATGATTGTTTGTACCGATCTGGTTTGATTTCTATATGTAATATGTTTGCATTTACGAAAAAAAATATATATCTGTGTATTTATTTGTTATATAATAGTACCCATAATACAAGCTTTACTGAAATTAACTTGAGACTAGATGGCGCTGTGTGAATTGTCCTGACATTATTATTATTATAACATTATAATAGCGAGGACTTTTTTTCTTTATATAGAAAACATATTAAACCTATGTTCACGTGAAAGAAAATAGAGTCCCACAAAAATATAGCTAATGAAATTCGTCAAACCCAAACTACACAAATACGCAATTTTAGTTCCACAATAAGAAATCTACCTATCCAAGAGGAGGTTTCTTTTCCTAAAACATCCTATTCGATATTAAATTACACAGAGTCCTTGCCAGAACGTAACAGAATTACACTCTTCATTGAATTTTAGTTACGTTACATTTGTAAGAATACTCGTAGCTTCATAGCTTCATTGAACTGATAAAATTGAGTACATATTACCTGAGAAGTGGACCTATCTATCTTTATTTAATTTGCCACAGATTACATATAATAGAGAAAGAAACATAAATGCATAGTATAATATTTTATACACTTGTGAATCAAGAAAATGGTAAATTCTTATAGTCTCTATTACACTTGTAATTATAAAATACTAGTGGTCGAAATTTAATTATAATTAATTTAAATTATAAATTTGAACATTATGGTCATGTACGTATGTATCTGGTCCTATTGACAAAGATAGACTATACATATATTCGTGTGTGATTTGCTGATTTATTGTATTTTCTAACCATAAAAGATATTTTTGCACTCTGTCCGCTCAATTTACTTAAAAAGGGTTAAAATATTTTTCTTCACGTATTAATATATACATAAAACTGTTATAAAAACAATGTAAGCAAGGTTGGGCTTATCTGCAAGAGATCTCTTCCAAACAATCTAACTCTGTGACAGAGGAAGTATTTAGCGAGCAATAACAGAGTCATAACATAATGTTTCATAATAAACAATAACTTTATTTTTATGCAGTTAAAATTTAATAGTAGATACGGTCATATACGCAGATTAAATCGGAGTTTTCATTCAGCATGCATCGTAATTTATTTTTATCTAAACTTCGTGGGTATATCAGACCTATTTCAAGTGACAAGCAGCTTGCTTTATAAGCTGCATTTTGGTGGAACGGCGAAACAAGGCAGTGAAATTATACAGTATTATTTTTTAATGGCATTTTGAATGCATAAGTGAACTTACGAACTTACTTACAGCGTTGACTAGATGACGAAGTTCTGCTCGAGTACCTGTATGTATATAGGCGATAGTTACCACCTACCATCAGGTGGGCTGTCTTGCTTATTTGCCATTCCAATTTCATAAAAAAACCCACGCCAATTTACTTTAAAAGTAAAGATTTGTATGGATAAATTGTTAGTTCCTTTCTTTCCTTTTTATTCCTTTCTTTCCGAAAGAAATATCATAAAATGAAACTGTCATACAGTTTACACTTATAGACATAGAAGGATATTTGCCATTTTTGAAATTTGCTATGCGGATTAAATTTATATGTGTATTTCAGTTTCTGTTACCTCAAAGGGTCTTTGATATGTATATATCTGTCAAGAGATATGGCGCAAAGGTTGAGTATCGAGGCGGTGGAACACATGACGTCGCAAGCCACCCACGTGTCGCAGAACTGCTCTCCAAACACCCAGTATCTGAATAATTAATGTCGATCAAATTATGTGAAATCAAACAGTTAGTTCACCCTACAGTTGCTGATATAGACTTACATGGGATTGAATGAAAAGAAAAATATAACGGATTAATATGGAATGTAACAACAAGGAATGTATATTTATTTAATATTGCAGTTTTCAATTTCATAATAAAGCGTTTCAATAAATATATCTTTGTGATTTTTCATTTCTCTAATAAAGGAAGTAAGGAAGATATGTATGCATATGTACATTTTATGGGTAATTGATATTGTTTTTTTAAAAAGGAAAATAATGGTATTTTAATAATGGTCATGATTATATAATACCCTTTAATTTTTTACCACCCGCATTAATTAATACCCTCCAATTCACCATTTATCTGGGGGTCAACCAACATTGCATTTGCTACACGAGGTCATTTTAAGAGATTCTTTAATTCTTATTACTATACTGACCCGAGTAAGTCGTTGACCCCTGCAAATGTCATAACTGCAGCGGCAACAAGCATGTCAGCGATGGCCAGCGATGCCAGGAACAAGTTGCCAATACGTCGCAGCCCACGGTCAGTGTAGATGGCGATGCAGACCAGAATGTTGCCGGCAACGCTCAGGAATATTAGCAACGACAGGAATATACCTGCAAAGGAAATAAAAATTAGAATCCATAAGATCTAATTTATATTCGATTTTTAACCGACTTCAAAAGTAAAGTGACTATATTTTTTTATTTATAATCCATTATTGCACCAATATTAAAAGCAAATACATTTATGTAATATTCATTCATTTCAAAATAACAGTTTAAATTTTTTTCAGTTTCCAATACTGTTGTTAGATGTTAGCAGCTGGCTTCTACAGCTTCATCGGACAAAAAAGGCGACCGTAGATGGCACTCCAAACCCGCGGAAGGTCTTATGGAGCGGCTGAAAGCCAACTCCTGCCTGATGGATACGACTTTAATCTGAGGACACCACTAGGGTCTCGGCCCTCGTCTTAGGCCGTCGTGATTCCCGAGGAAAACCTGAGAAATTCAAATCTGAGAAAAACTTCATAACATAGATCTCAAAACGGTATGACAATCAAATAGTTCAGTTATATTTTACCTATCAAATTACTCTCTTGAGGCAGTCGTTTCTGATATAGATCCGTATCCTCTATTCCTATTCTCTTTCTATTTCAAGAAGAAAGAATAAGATATTATCTACATTTCGATTTTCGATATATATATTTATCAGGTCATGTCTATATCTGTAGATACAATTATTAATAGAAATCTATTTATACATATATTATATATGTTATATGTACAGACAAACACTACACCACTTGAGGGAACTTCGTTTCAAAATAAAGTGAGATACAGAATAATAGGTAAAGAAAAAAAAACTATGTAACGTAGTGCGATAAATGGAATTTAACAATTTAGCTTTATAGTTTGTACTAGAGGGTGCGTGTTTGCGCGGGCCTCAAGAGGCCCGCGAGGCGTTGTCGTTGATTTTTTTTGTGAAGACGGTTTTTATTTTCGTTGTTAGAGTTGTCTGTTTTGATACGATTAGGTGACTTCCTATTGTAACAGTGAATTTCTGTTTCACGTGTACCATATATACCTGTGGCGAAACTTTGTATTGTAATGGTCACAATACAAAACCTAACCTAACCTACCTTTTTGTTCACTATATTATTCTGAGGACATAATTTCTACTGTAAGAGTCGCAATACAAAACCTAACCTAACCTACCTTTCTGTATACTATATTAGTCTGGGGTCAAAGTTTTTAATGTAGAGATCATAATACGAAACCTACCTTTTTGTTTACTATATTATTCTGAGGCCATAATTTCTACTGTAAAGAATCGCAATACCAAACCTAACCTAACCTACCTTACTGTATACTATATCAATTTCGGTTCACAGTTTCTGATGTAGAGATCATAATACGAAACCTAACCTAACCCACGTTTCTGTGTACCTTATTGATTTGTGGCCAATTTCCATATTCTCGTGTCTATAGACTTAACCTCATCTTACTTTTCAGTATACTAATAGTCTGAAGCAATAATTACTACTGAGTAGCAATACAAAATCTAACCTAACCTACCTCTCTGTATACCTATATATCTTTCCTACCGTCTAGGTTGCGTGTGGGTCGTTTTAGCTGATTTTTTTATGGTGAAGGTTTTCTTTTCAATCTTGGTTGCCAGAAACATGTTTTGATACGAAACTATACCACAAAGGTCAATTCCTATTGTAACAGTGAAAAAACGAAATCTAACTCACTGTTTGTATACCGTATTGACTTACAACGACACTTTTTATTGTAGTGTGGTCCCAATATAAAACCTCACATTACCTACCTTTCTGTACACCTTATTGATCTGTGGCCACAATTACCATTTTGACCTGTGGTTTTAGTTTCTATTGCAATGGTCACCATACAAAACCTAACCTACTGTACGTTTCTGTATACCATATTAGTCTGGGGTCACATTTTTTAATATAGAGACCATAATACGAAACCTAACCTAACCGACTACATAAATACTATACAACGGGGTTACAATTTCAAATGTAGAGGTCATAAAACTGAACATAACCCATTTTTTATATTTTACAAAGCCTACAACCTACCTTTCTATACATTATATTACTGGCCTGTGGCCTTACTGAAGTGTGAATCAGTAATGAGGATAATTAATAAAAAAAAATAGGGAATATAATTGAATTTTATTAGTATAATAGATGTCTTCATAATGTTACTAAGATTATTTAGTAACAGCCGACTGATATTGCAATTGCTATTGATTTTTCATTGTTCTGTACACTTCCGTGCTCGAATGTTTCCATTGTTGATCTTCCAATAATCTCATCAGGGATATTATGCAACAAACAAAAAATATTATTAATAAACTTAAAACTGTATTACATAGAGATGTTTTTGGGTGTCGATTAGATTGGTTTCCACGACACCCAAGAGGTACAATCACATCGCGTTTTTTTTAAAGTGGTGTCCCAGTCTCTTCCCAAGTTCATAGGTACTACTATATACAAGTGCTCTAAAATTTTAGTGAAGAAAAAAGACTGGCATAATCCACTGTATTAGAACTATAGAATAGAGTGGTAAACAATACTTATATTCTGTTATTTTTACCATTTCAATTTATTATGAATTTTTTTTATAATATTGTTCAATAATAATAAAGCAGGAATATTTTATTGTACCTCCTAATGATAATATTGAATTATATAGTAGATGATAGTATACCACTCTAAACCCAAAAAAAAAAAAAAAATACCACTCTATTAAAAATAATGACTTTAAATTATAATGTAATGTTTTATACTTCACATCTACTTAAAATGAGGCAATGAAGACATATCTACAATATACACGAGAACATCGGCTATTTCTCTAAGAATAAAGTAGTAATTAAATTTTAAAAATATGTTTCTAATAAAGTCTAATACAATATACAACATTTGTTTTAATTATAAGAATATTAATATTTCAATAGTTAGTATGATAATTAAATTAATTTCTAATATATATATACAACTCTCTTCTATAGGCGTATGAATGAGTCAATAAAGTGAATGAGTGAATTTGGAGTAGAGTGGTAGACGATTACGATAGTCAAAGATACTTGAAGACTAAGCATTACATCTTGAGTGTTATTTTTTAATATAATTCTATAATACAAGAAGTTGAACTGCTCGAAACTTATCATTTCTGACGATCGCAATAGCGTTACTCTACGTAAGTGTATATAAATATATTATATAAAAACATAAAAACTAATAAGCCGCCACCAAAGTTATATAAGCATGTAGATAGTGAGTTCTAATTATTGCTGTCAATGTGTTAAGCTTAAGTCAACAAATTTTCAATCACTACATTTCTTACATATGGCACACCGTTTACGATTCGCTCTTTTGGAATTAAAATTTTAATGTTCTCAGCATGCCGTACTCGACCTAAGGCGACATACAGTTGACCATGGCTGAACACATCGGACCGCAGATCTACGCCTACTCTATCTATGGTCTGTCCTTGACTTTTATGTACAGTCATCGCGTAACATACTTGCAATGGAAATTGTCGACGACACATTTCAATAGGACTTCCCGGTTCAATGGGTGCTTTGAAAGAAATCCTTGGTATTCTATAAGTCTCCGAGTCATGCGGTTTCCGAACCGTCACCAGTCTTGGCGATACATCTACAACGACTACCTTAGTACCGTTCACGAGTCGGTCTACAAAGCTGAGGTTTCTTACTATCATGCAGACGCAGCCCTTTTTTATTGGCAGATCGTAATCAGGCACTCCCTTAGCTTGTACTTTATGTAGCATATCGGGACCCAGATGAAATTCGTCGGCGTGTTCCACATCTACGCTATCAACACCATAGCAATGAATCATATCGCCATCAATGCGTTCTAATATATGGGCGTTTATATCATTAACATTAGTGTTATGAGTGGATAATATTGCTCTACTCGCGCATTCATCTGGATCGCACAACACATCGCCAGGAAAGACAAAGTCAAGCAAATCGTCGAGTTCGGTAACCACATTTAAATTCTGTAAACTGATTAGCGTTTGAATATTTCTCCCTGAGCCAAAAGTGTGTGATTCGCAGGCACCGGAGCCTAGGTTTAACAAAAAATCTGAATATCCCTCGTCGTTGCGCGTTCTTTGAGCTTCTGTCAAAGAAAATTGGGTCATTTCATTCCATAAAGAAGATGTTCGGAGGGACGCTTGAATAATATCATTGTGACATCTCGCACTCGGTACAACTGGAGGTATTTGCCTAAAGTCACCAGCGAAAATCATAATTTTTCCTCCGAACGCTTTTCTGCAGTCCATCAAATCTTGCAGCGACCGGTCCAGAATGTGTACAAGATACTTGTGCGACATCGGCGCTTCGTCATATATAATAATGGAGGATTCGCGGATTAATTCAGCCCGCTGGGTACCATTGGTTAAACTCCAATGACTCGTGTCATCGATCACTTCTAATGGTAATCGGAACATACTGTGAGCTGTGCAACCGCCTTCATAATTCTGTGCAGCTATTCCCGAACTCGCAGTACAAATTGCAACAGCTTTCAGTATTCCCCGTACATACGCTACTATAACTTTTAGCAACAATGTTTTACCAGTGCCTGAAGGGCCGTCCAAAAATAAAGTACGAGGTGTCTCGTCACAAGAGTGGTCAGTTGCTAATAACTTTATAACGTGATCGAATACGCGTTTCTGTGCAAGCGATAATAATGGTACCCATCGAGTAACGAATTCGCGCAAACTGTCATTATTATATTCCACTCGCTCTCTATCTAATTCTGTTGTGTCGTCTCGAACAAGTGGCAGCCCTTGGTCCTGAAGACGACTTCCATGTTTGCGGAGGAGTCGGTCAATTTCCTTTAACGCTTGGTTATACGCGCGATCTTCTTGATCGTTTGGGTGGCGTTCCAAAATATCTTCACTTATGAGATGTTTGAATTTATCCCACAGAATCATTGCAGGGGCGCCATTGGTAATTAAAAGCACGAAAAAGTGTCTAAGCTTTTTTCCATTATAAAATGCTGCCGCCTCTTGAATACATTTCTCGTATTCTTCTTCATCGTTAGCAATACCGA